AAAGAATAAGTAAAGGACTGTACACATACAATTGTCTGGATCTATGTAAAGGCAGGCATATTAACAGTTGGATAACCAATTACTAGTTAGATACAACTAATTTGGAAAAATTTTTGGCATTATCTACTAGGGCAAAGCATACACCTACCCTATGAAACAGCAAGTCAACTCCTAGATATTTAACTATGAGGACAGACAAAACTAATTAATCTGGTTATAGAAATCAAACAGTGGTCTCTGATGGTGGTGGTTATTGCCAGTAAAGGAATATGAGGTAGCTTTCTAAGGTGTTAGACATTTTTTATTTTGTCTGGTGCAAGTTATCTGAGTGTATACATATGTGCCAGTTGAGTTCTATACTTGAGATTAGGGTATTTTACTGAATGTAGGTTGTACCTTAATAAAGAAAAATTAAAAATTCAGTAAGCACAACGTCTGTTAAAGTAAAGCACTATCTCCTAATGGTTTTATTTGCAAACCCGAGGTCATATGATTATATGGTTGTCCAGCCCAATCTCTGGGAGTCAGGTCCAGATCTGGGGTGATCCCTGACTTTTTCAACTTCTCTTTCGTGAAATGCGATCTTGGGCTAAGTGACTGACTCCAACCTTGGTGATGATATAGACCACATTCTATGAATGCTTAATATCAGTGTTCTAGAGAAGCACTGGAACATGTAAAAATGCCTGGATGCTTTCAAAATTCTCTCTTTGTCTCTGGATATGCATTTCCTTTCTCCTTCTGCAATGTCTAGTTAAAATGCATGTCTAGTTAAAAAAATAGAGTGTATATGTTAAAATGATATATAACTAACATCTGACAAAAGCTCAGTCTATTCAAATTAAAAATGAAAAAAAAGGAATAAAGAATAAGGTAAAGGACTGGATGCATATGACTGTCTGGATATATGTAAAGGCAAACATATTACCATTTCTCCATCCATAGTATTCAAACAGAGGAAAGAATAACTTAAAATTTTATCGCACAATCAATGCTTTTAAAATGAAAAATGGCAAAATCAGATGAATTATTTTTATAATTTTGTAAGCTTTTAAAACTATATTCTCCTTAACTATTTTCTAAGCCAAATATGGATTTCCATTTTTAAATATTTTTTCTTATTGTCAAATAATAACATATTCTATGATCAGTGAGGCTACTTGTGCAAAAGATTTGGACTTTTCTAGTTTGCACACAAGTAGTTGGAGTCTACTGTTTCCACTGACTTATCACTGAAAGGAATGCTTTAAAAATCTATGCTTCTTATGTCCCATATGAATCAGCCATGCATCTGGCGGACTTCCTCCTCAGGTAAAGGACTGTTCACTCTAAATTAACCTAGATTTCAAGGCAATGGGAATGCTTGCTGGTAAAGGATGGTGAGATTATTCAGTCTGTAAGGAGAAAATAAATTGTGTAAAGTTGGGGCTGCCTTCTTGTTTATTTACCTAATCTTTGGTAAGAGGATCTCTACTTGGATTATATATTTTGGTTTTGCTATTGTTACTCTCTAATATGATATGAGTTTAAGTTATCAGAATCTTAGTGCTAAACTGAAACAATGGTGACTGTGATGAACTTGTGCATGATAGGAAAACACATGATGAAATAATGGACCTTAGGAAGGTAAATGTATTAAATTGCCACTGATCACTGTTGAGGGGTGTGTATCAGTGGCACATACACTCACGTTTGCCTTACCATTAAAACCAGTTCATCCTAGGAAACTTTGAAGAAATTAATGTGTATAGATCTGAGTTGTACCATAGGCACCATAGATGACTCTGCTTTATTGAATATCAGTAAAATTACTTTTGGTCTCTGACCACAGATCTCCTTGATAGAATTCCCAGTTCTCAATAGAATATGTGACTTTCGGAGTGGAGTGACATACAGTCTGGCAATGTGGAATGGATTGTTAGTCACTTATGAACTAGGCTAGATATATTCTGGAATAATGTGTTTATCAGTGGCCCTGTGATATTAACTTATAACGAGAAAGAAGTATCTAGATGCATTTGATTGCCCTGATTAGAATCAAGATATATACAGTTTTTGTGTCCCTGTTCATGACAGGATTTTAACTAAAACACATTTTCAATGATCTTGATAAGACTAAATTACTTATAATCCTAAACCCTGAGGTTTAACAGAAAAACAAATATTACTGGACCCCAGGGTTTAAAATAAATGGAGTAATCTGTGCTTATCTCAGAAAACATTTCTATTACAAATGTTCTCTGGACATACTGGAGTAAACTGACATTATATCCGTGTAGTCGGTGTAGGAAACCATTTGTGAACTTTGGTCTCCTGTGTGTCCTTTTTGCCCTGCTCCTGAATTCACTATTTAAAACTAACTTTACTTACCTAAATTATTCTATCTATCTGTTGTAGGTGTTGAGCAAGTTTCCAAGTGAGTCTCTCTTAGTATTTGATTTTCCTGGTACTTAAAATTATAACTTTTAAGTTCCAATTTTTATTTTTAGTTTCCATTCCCCTCCCTGGATATGGTTGTATACTTATACATATATTTATTTTTTTCTACACAATGGGGATGTTAATTACTTACCTGTTTTCTTTCCCCTGAAATTTGTGAAAAAGCTTTGGGTTGGTAATCAAAATAGGCTTTTATATATGTAAACTTTTTTTTTTTAAACCTATATCTTATCTCTGGATATATGCAAACATACAAACTATATTTGAGCATTTTAACTACATTTTTCTTTTCAATTTCCATGTGTAATGCTATTGTTCTTCTTGTAGATGACCAAATTGGGCAGAAGGTTATTCCTCCAAGAAAATATAATTATTTAAATACATTTTCCCTAAAGAGATGTGCCTAAGTGAACATGGACACATGGCTATATTGTGGCTATTTACATTCCTGACTTCCCAGACTGTCACATCGCTTTCTATAAAATTTTGGGAATTAGAATGCTGTATGTGTAAAGGATTTTATTATAGAAAACAATGCGTGCTGTATCCCCTGTACATGCATGTGATTTTGGAGTTACAAAGCACTTTCCGTACATCATCACATTTGATCCTCAGGCAAACCCCACGAAGATGATGATTCTCACTTCACAGATGAGAATCCAAAGTTTCATGAAAGGTTAAGAGAGAGGCTTAGGTCTAAACCTAAAGTTCTTGTCTTAAGTCTGAGCTCTTAGAACTTCTCTTTTGTAAAGCAAATCAAAGGAGCAGTTGAAATCTGAATATTCTTATGATGTCATGTTGAACACATTTTCTTTTCAGCTGAACTTCTTTGTTTTGCAGTTTTAAATCAAATGCATTTGAAGTGAGGCTTCATAGATTGTTCTGTATACTCCCCCAATACTGCCTCCTATGGCAGGGAAGATTTAATTTTATTCATTGATTTATGATTTAAACTGTGTAATAGTGTATTAGTGGGGACAATTATTTCCTACTTTTCATGTTTTCATATGGAGGGATTAGCTAGACTAACTCTTTTGCTCTCTCTCTCTCTCTCCTTACCCCCGAAAGAGAAAAACATTTTTGGATTAGTGAGTTTGATAAAAGTAGCTGGTGGAGCAGGTGTGATCTTAGTGGGCAGGGTCTGCCCCTGAGGTGAGTGGGAGTAAATCCGCCCTGCATTGCTGGGAGGCTGTGGGTAACTAGCGTGTACCTCATGACACTCGCTGGATCACACCTCTAACCAACACTTTCTGTTTGCCTGATTTCCCTGTCTCCTCAGTTAGCTGCAAGCTTACCAGGGCAAGAAGGATGTGATTAACTGGGTCCTTTCAAAACTCAACATCTTAAGGCCTGAAGAGTAAAATACCTCTCCCTTCCCAGGGATGCATCTGATTTTATTTCTATCAAACCTTTACTTTATTTCCAATATCCTATGGCACAAGTTATGACTGTCATGTTGGTTTAATAAAATTCATCTCATTACTCTTTATTGTATTATAAATATGATACCCTCCCCTTTCCTTAATGTCATGTAAGAGAGTGATTATCTTAAGGTATATTTAGTGGAGTTCTTGTTTTCTCTTGTTAGCTGCTCTATAAAATATAAGCAGTCATGCTCAGTGTGTACGTTATATGGGGGCCTTGGAAAAATCTGAAAACATTGCAGCACTTCTACGGTATTAAAGCTTAATGTCATTTCAGCCATATAAAAATTTCCACATAATTTGAGACACTAGTTTTCCAGAGAAGTGAAAGGCGTGTCATATTTTAAATTTACATGGATGACTGCATAATGCAAACCATAATTCTTCTTCTTAACGAAATAGTTTTTACTTATGTATAAACGGTTCTTATAATACATAATATAATTAATGACAGATGAGGTGATAGCCCATTTTTAGAACTTCTGTGAATAGAAAAGACCCAGAATTAAGTTTTTTCCAGAGTGGCAGAATCAATGATATTTAAACTGTAGAATTATAAGCTTCTAGAACTGGAAAGAATATCGAGAACAACTCATTTTTTAACCCCTCAAATTCTGGGAATGCAAGAAAGGAATCTTAGGGTTCATCTAGATCCAAGAAATTTAAGAGTTATCCAAGGTCATGTGACTAATTAATAGCAAGCCCTGGATGAGAATCATGAATCTTGTTCTGGTGTCGTCCTACCCTTCTACGGTATTGGGTTGCTTTGCATTCAATACACATAGTAACTTATACACTTCAGCATAGTGTTTAAAACAGTCTACTAACAATTGGATTTCTGTTTTAACAAATGGATTTCTGTCCTCTTGCATTTCTGTTTTATGTTTCTCCCCTTTTAAGGGGAGAAAAGACAATTGAGACTTCACTCTCAAATGCCAAAAAAATTTCCCCATGTTTTCTCAGAAAATACATGTACATATATTTATATATATATATTTGCATGTATATATAAATTTTATGATTATGGTTTCTAATATCTCCCCCTTAATATCATTTTCTTGTTAAAGTTGTCCACAATTAATCAACTTTTACTGCTTTTGCTTTTTTGTTGTTGTTGCTTTTGCTTTTGATTTATAGAATCTGTCTGTCCAACACGAATTCCAGTGGCAGCTCGAGATGAGAAGGGGTTTGACATTCTTTTAGGCTTGGGTGTAAAGAAAAAGGTTAAGAAAAGAATCCAGCTTTCACCGTCAAAGATTAAAGGATATGAAGTAACATCAAAAGTTGATTTATCAGAATCCACAAGGTAAATGTTATGTGTAGATACAATTTTTTAAATATGTCTACAGGTGTGTTGAAAATTCTTTAAGCTTATTCATGTTCTTCTTTTTCTAGCAATGTTTTCCCAGAAGGTCTTCCTCCATCATATGTATTTGTCTCCACTCAGAGATTTAAGGTCAAGAAGATGTGGGATTTATGGAGAATTTTAACCATTGATGGAAGGCCACAGATAGCAGTTACCTTAAATGCTGTGGATAAAACATTACTATTTACAACAACCAGCATTATTAATGGCTCACAAGTGGTCACTTTTGCTCACCCTCAAGTTAAGGTAAAGATGCACGGATATCATTATGATATTTATGAGGAAACACTGTTGGGTTTATGTGTATTGGGGGAAGAGAGCTATAATTTTAACATGACTGGAAATATATTGACTTCATATATTAATGCTGCTTTACTGAAAAAAGCAAGAAAGGAAGGAAAATTCTTTCTTAATCCATGTGGAATTTACGGGTGGGGGAACTAATATTTTTTTGAATGTCTACTACTAAGTACCAGGCACATTGAATTATAATAACTACCCATGGAAGAACCTATTATTCCCATTTTACAAAGAAACCAAAGTTCAGAGCTATTAAGTTCCTACTCAAAGTAACAGGGCTAGTTAAGTGGTGACAATAGAAATTGAATTTAGGTCTGGTCATTTTCAAAGTCCATGTTGGTCTGTTTCACATTGCCATGTCCCACAGGATATTTAAATGAAGACATTTGTTAGAACATTAAATACAGGCAGAAAATGGATGCAGAATTTACATTAATTATAAGGACATTTTATTTCCCATAAAGGGATATATCTTATAAAATCAATAAGCTAAAAATAAAAGTGTACTTTCTAAGTCATGTGTTCAGAATGCAGATGGGATAATAAAAGCAATTAAGTTTTGATCATTACTATAATTATGAAAGTCTAATGTAGTATATAATTTAGAAAATGTACAAGGTTATATATGAGATTATGCATTTATACAATTTCTTCATTTGGTAAATAGATTAAATTTTTAAAAATGTGTTGTCTGCCATTTTCACTGAAGGCAATGTGCTAGGTCTGTAAGAAAGGACAAATGAATAAGACATGTTTCTTATCATCAAGGGGCTTATTTATAATGAGAAATTCAAAGCTTCTGATACCTAATAGAAGTATAGCATGTTAGCAGAGTGTGGAGGGAAAAGTGGATTCTAATACAAAATATGAGAAAATCTTCATAAATGAGATGGTTTTTGGACTGACTTTGAAGCATGTAAAGGGTTTTGATGGAGAGAGATAAGGGCACATTAAGTCAATGGTTCAGTATTGAGTAGTCATGTGTAGTACAATTCAGGAATTTTATTTAGAGAATGGATATTTGTATTCCTTGTGTTTGGAGTATAAGATGAATGAAAGAGGCTATCAAGGTATGAACTCAAATTGTGGGGACCTGGAAAGCCACACAAAGGGGTTTGGATTTTATTCAGTGGATGACAGGATTCTATTAAAAGATCTTGACCCTACGTAGGTGTGTCATGGCCAAAGCAACTCTCTCCTCTATTTTTCTTTTTTCTTTCATAAGCATTACTTTCAACTCTATTTTGGAATTATGTTAGGTCCTGGGAATATGGAAGTTAAGATGGGGCTTGTTCTCTGACAAAACTCTAATGCGAGAGATTAGTGGCGGTATGAAGGACCGCATGAAGAAGGAAGGATTAGAGACAAAGATAGGTCTGAACATTATTCAAATAAAGCAAGATACTCATGAGCCTAACTTATGGCAGTGAGAACGGACATGAAGAAGTGAATTTCAATCATGTTTAGGAGACATATTTTGTAGAACTTTGCATCTGTTTAAAGTTGCCTCTGAGGGAAAGGAAGGAGGTAAAGAACCTTGCTTTGGTTTAGAAACGGAAGATACTACGATCCAAGGGAAGTAGGGATATGAAGAAAGTTTGGGAGATAGTTCAAGTTTGTTTTGTAACATACTCTGTCAGGCTGATTGTGGACATCCTGGCAAGTTTAGTCCAGCCAGTATTAGAAGTATAGCTATCATATGTTGATGTAAATATGGGAGTTATTCCATAGAAGTAATAATTGACCTGTGGGAATGAATGAGTTAGTCAAAGAGGAGAATGCAAGATGTCAAGGACAGGCCCGTGGGGAGTGCCGCCCCAGAGGACAGGCTGAGCAAGAGGGGTCCTCACAAGGAAAGAGCAGGAGCAATTGGAGAAGAAATGAGGACAGCCAAGATGGCTTGAATCATGGAAGTTGAATGAGAATATCAAAGAGGAGGGACTAGTTATGGAGTCCAAAGTTGCAATGAAGTAAAAAGAATTAGGACAGAGAGGAAGCATTTGGACTGGGAGATTAGGAACTTTTTTGTGACCTTGAGGGAGTTCGGCACAGCTCTTTTGAAATATGTAATAGAAGCTTTAGGGATTAAGGAAAGAATTGGTGCGTGGCATTTGAGGCCCAGCTTGGGTCAGGGAGAATTTGTATATAATATAGCTAATTTATGCGGGGTGGATTTATGGTTGTCAGCAGAGGAAAAGGAATGAAAAAATAAAAGGTTGTTAGGAATTTTATTTATGAACCTTCTGTACTTTCTTCCTATAGATATTATTTGATGAAGGCTGGCATCAAATTCGTCTCTTAGTAACAGAACAAGATGTAACTCTGTATATTGATGATCAACAAATTGAAAACAAACCCTTACATCCAGTTTTAGGGATTTTCATCAGTGGCCAAACCCAAATTGGAAAATACTCTGGGAAAGAAGAAACTGTTCAGGTGGATAAATAATAGTTTGCCTTTTGCATGATACAAAACAGAGCTTTTGCTGTGCTTTCTGATATGTTATCTCGTGGAACTGTATTTAACTTAATTGTGAATTCCTTTAAGATACTTAATCAAAATGTGGTCAGTTCATTAGTGAAATTGTGTGTTTGTGTGTAAGTATGAAAATGTAAAGTTAGACTTAATCAGTTTTAGAAGAATCCTTAGAAAAATGTCCCCCTGGGTTCCAGGCAGAATTCTATGTTCTTCTGAAACACTAATCTCATTATTTCCAAGGAGAGGCATAGATAAAATAGTGAATTTGGAAAAGGGAATGTGATTAGAGCTATAAATGGCATTAGAAACATTTATTTGCAGCTGTGAAGATAAAATTAGATTAATGCATGTCAGGGTTTTTTATGAACGAAACTAACTTTTCAATATCTATTTAAAGTGGAGTATCTACATGTAGGTTGAGAATTATGTATGTAAAAGTAATTTCTTATAAAATCCTTTATTTGAAATGTATGTTTCACTGTTTTTATTAAGGGAGGACTCTGTCACATTTAAATGTGTGGTTACACACATGGTCTTTATATATTAATGTCACATGTCACATTACAGAAAATATTTAAATAGTAACAGGTGCTGGGCCTACTCATTGCACAACATTTCATGCCAGCAACTAAATCTCTGAAACTAGGGATGGTTCTTGAGCCACCCTTTTTGAGTGTCCTAGGAAATTCTCTCTAGACTAGCTTTTCATATGGGGATACTGAAAAGCTCCACTGAGTTCCTGAAGGAAATTAGAGATTTGTTTCTGGTGCTAGAGAAGTGTTTCTTAGGAATTATGTCTCATCACATCTTTAATATTATATTAAAAGTAGTAGTATTTAAGCTTTATATTTTCATTGTTTTAGATAAACGATGTGATTTAAACTTTCCATGATTGCTAACTCTAGTGGCTGTTTCTGTGTATCTGTGTTGCTCTTATAAAACTAGCTTGTGCCTCGACTTTAATTTGATTGGGTTTATGTTCCTAGTTTGATGTCCAGAAGTTGCGAATCTACTGTGACCCAGAACAGAACAACCGGGAGACAGCGTGTGAGATTCCCGGATTTGTAAGTAGGATAGATTGTTTTTCCCCCAGTGTTGCTTCAGTACGTTCAAAGCAATAAATAAAAAGCAGATACCATGTGAACCTTAATTTAATATATAGAGTTAATTTTTTCAACTGTCAAAGGAAATAAAGTGACATTGATTGAAGCATTTTGAAGCTCATAGTTGAAATAAAATTTTAATGTTTCACTGTGAAAGTATGAATGAAAGATGACAAGAAACAGTTTTTCCCACATCATCTGGTTGTGACTGTTCCAGTATTCACGTGAAGCACAGGACTGGACTTGCTTTAGAAAAACATAGGATATTTTGTCTGACTATCTAGTGTGTAAAATACATTTCTGTTCTTAATTAAATGTATAATTAGTATATTACACAGCACAATTCTGGATCAGGAAATGATTCATTTTCCTGTTCACCAGCACATTTTCTCAACTATAGTGAACATATAGTTTTCCTTTTGTTGTTGTCACCTAAGTAAGATTTTCTTATATTCGTAGGATATAAGCAACGTTTTTATTTATTTAGCTATTTTCATTAATGTGTTAAGACAGAAATAATTATAGGCTAAGATGTTATAAAGTATGCTTATATACATGAGTATATAATCAGTCCCTTTTCTTCTAGGCAATAAAGGGCGTGCAGTATTGCTGCTAATGCAAATAAGTTACAATGTTGTAAAACTTTCTGACAAGGTGGAATCCCAGTGATACTTGAGCCCTACCTCGTGTTTTAGTTTGCATGGTTGTGCTGTCCTACTCTCCTTTTTTCCCCTATTAAACTGAACAGCTTATGAATCATGTTCTGAAAACTTGAGGATATAGAGCAACATCATTAATGGATCTCTATATAACTCAAAGATGGAACCTTTTAGAAATCATTCATTATGGATATTCTAGATAGAATTGCTTAAGCATATAATTTTTAGATATAAATTTATAACTGGAATATAAATCTTTACTAAAAGTATTAATAAGTTATTGCATTTGAGAGTCCCTTGTACATACTTTATTTATTGATATCTCTGCATTGATGTAATAAACATTACCATTTCCCTTCCACATAATAAAGGCGTAGCATTACATGGTGGATTTTGAATTCTCACATACAGTTTTTTGTGTTTTCATGTCTTCATTCTTACTCTCAGCTGTGACTTCGTGTAGCTTGTTTGCCTTTTGTACTTTCATTCCCACCTTCTCATTTTCTGATATAATTTATTAGTGTTTGGAAAGATATTAACCTACCTCAAATTGTGTGTTATTCAGTAAGAAATAGGCTGTTTAGGGAGAAGCTCTCCTAGAGTGCATAAAATTCATTTCGTGCAGTTTCTGAGTTGGTTAGATATGTTTTGGCTCTTCTCTCTGATTCTTAAAGGATTTCCAATAAGTTTAAGAACACATATAAATTCCTCCTTGAGGTGTTTTTGTTTCTGCATGGCCATTATATTAAGCAGCTTTGGCATTTTAATTTTCTTTTACTCTTCATTATTGTTAATTTTCTTTCTTCTACTACAAATGTAGTAATAACATGTATAAATAAGTAATTTCTTAGGATAGTTATCTGGACCATGAAATATTTGAAAATTAGGAAGATAATTTAGAGATTTAATTAAAAACATATTTTCAAACACATTTGTTATTGTTTTTCTTTCAGAACGGTGAGGTAGGCCTGGATACTATTGTTTTCCTTAAGGTAATATTTGCATTGGGGGACTGGTTAGCTTCCTTCCATCAACTGTAAGTATTTTAGACAAATTATACCCTTTTTAAAAAAAATTAAAAAAAAAAATCTATTGATTTCAGAGAGAGGAAGGGAGAGGGAGAGAGAGAGAGAGAAACATCTATGATGATAGACTCATTGATCGGCTGCCTCCTGTATGGCTCCCTCCTGAGGATCGATCCCGCAACCCAGGCCTGTGCCCTGACCAAGAATCCAACCGCGATCTCCTGGATCCTAGGGCTATGCTCAGCCGCTGAGCCATGCCCAGCCAGGCAAATTATACCCATTTTTTAATGTAGTTTGAGTATGTTTAGTATTCATAGCTTTTTGTGATTAGAAATTTCTTGTTAGATTAGGCAAAATAAAATTGGAAAGTAAATGTAAGTTACCTTTATCCTTTCACACAGACATACATATATACACCCCCATCGGTACATATACATATATATGCATCTTTCCATATTTGATTATTTTAATTTTTGTCCTCGTAGTGCCTCAATGGTCCCAGTGATGTAGGTTCAACTCCAGCTCCCTGTATGTGTCCTCCGGGAAAGCCAGGACTCCAAGGCCCCAAAGTGAGTAATACCTGGCGTGCTATTCTTTGCTATAACACGTGAACAAGAGCTGAGTAAACGCGCAAAATTCCAAATCACCATTCACCCTGTTCTGAAATTTCCACCTAATAATGCTTTAGAACAGTTTAAAACCTGAGTGATATTTTAAAAAGTGTATTCTAACCTGTATTTGCCTAGCCCACAGTAGAGTGACGGGGCATTATTAGTTAAGTTTGCTTGTTTATCTGTTTGTTTCCCCTCCACTAATACCCTCCAACACAGCTGCCCAGATCCCAGAATGACCCTTACAACTTAGTAAGAAAATGAAGAAAGGGCACTTGTTATGTTCTAAATTTTTAAATGTCTAAATTCTTAATTTATCAAAATGATTTTCAGATAGAAAAATGGAGTAAAAAATTTAAAATTGATTTTAATGTTGTGTTGGATGTCTCGTTCTAAAAATAGAGGCATATATATTTATGTCAGTTAATCACGTAATAATTACTTTGGGGAAATATGACTGGAGCCATGATGTACATACTATTTTATAACCAGCTATTTTTTACATAACAAAATCCTTTGAATATGTTCCTATGTTATTAAATATGAATAAGTTTTTAAGTAAGTTGATACTTAGTGTGGCAACACTTAGACACAGTCTAAGATACCGAGAGGTTGAGTGATCTGATTGCTATAGATAAATCTTGTTCATTTAATATTTTTTTAAAAAATCCTAATAAAAATGCTGTCTAACTTGAAAGCAAGCATAACTCCCTAGCCAAAAGGATTGTTCTATGTATTGATTATCTATTATTTGAGGTGACCATAAACATTTTTCCTAAATACAAATTATAATTTCTACTTAGATGGAATTTTCATAGTGTTTCAATCACTGTGACTGAAAAATTTTAGCTTCTGGACTGCTGGTCTAAGATAATTTAATTCTTCCTATCTTTTGTGCAGGTTTCTTCCATCCATTTTTATATGATAGTTCATGACATACTTCATGCCTAGCCATTAAAATCAAGAAAGAAATTTAAGAAATAAAAGTCTACATTCAGTGTTTCATTCAAAGTAAATCTTTTTGGCTTGGAATTTGATTTCAGTACATTATAATTAACTTACTATTGAAAGCTATTTTTAGATTGCATTTACGGAAGTTAATCCAAGAGTTCTTTAGTTAAACTAACTGCATGTTATTTAGAATGCCTGATATAAATGAGAAATACCTATAAGATGTTCCAAGGAGACTATACTTCTAAGACAGCTTGGTGTGACCTACCTGCAGATTTCTTTTAAAACATATTTATATAGTTTATAATACTGGAATATTATACATAAAATTTATTTGATCTGCAAGAGATACAGTATGGAAATCAGAGTCCCATGTTATGTTGCCTAACCTCTCAAACCCAGAGTGCTTTCCTGACTCTCAATGAGTTCTGGTCACCCCCAGGGTCTCTAATGGGCTGTTGACTTTGAGGAGCCATCCGATGCTTTTGATGTTTTCTGATTCTTCCTTAGTGGTTCATTAGGGGTCTTGTAGTGACACCAATTATTATTCACATGTGTTTCTGCAGTACATTTTCAGCACTCCCTTTGTCTTATCTGATTTCCAGCATTTCCAAGTTTCATGTGTTCCTCATTTCCATTCTCTTAGTCATAATGTAACCCATTGCCACCTACTACTTTAAGTGAAATTGCAGTTTTCCACCAATCTTCAAGTTGGCTTGCCTTCTCGATCTGCTTTCCATTTTCTTCAGAAAATCTGGCAGGAGGAGAGGAACACACACACACTCCTCCGTCCTTTTAAGGCTCTTTCCCCTGGAAGTGGTTCCTTACCCACATCAGGGACCTGTATGTGAAAAACAGAATCCCTAGCAACACTTTGAGTTTCATGCACTTCCTGTAGAGAATTATTTCTGTCTTGGAAAATGGATAGGATTTTATTTAGAGCCATAGAACCACCGGAACTAAAGGAGATGAAACAATTTTACTATAGATCCAACAACTTCTTGGCTGTTTTTGTTCAATGCTCTCTGGAAGTTTTTCAGAGGTCCATCAAGCAGTTACCTGTGAAAAATAGATCTAGTATTTTTATTAGCCAGAAACAGCATTCTAGGAGGTGAGAGTTGAGTCATGAGACTAAAACAGAAGAGAAATTCTTGTATGACTAGGTGAGTAAGTGATTCTTCTAAGATACAGTCATCTGCTAAAAATTTTCTAAATTTCCAAAAATATGACAATCCTATTAAAAAACCAGGTCAAGTGAACTGTGATACCACACACTTAGACTTATCATGGCACTATAACCCTTCAATAAGCAAAGAAAAATACCTGTCACTGGACTGTGAGTGCCTTGAAGCATAGCTTGTCCATTTTGAATCTATAATGTCAAACATAGGAAGTGATTAAATTAATGAATGCATCTACTGGAATAATTTTTCTATACAAGTACTTCACAATGAAGGCAAGTACAAACTAAAGTCCCTTTTGAAATTCTAGTACCTAGCCCAGTGTTTAATAGTAATATTTTTTTAATTTAATGAATTATGGAATCATTGAAAATAAGACTTGCCCTTCCTCCTTGTTAACCTGTATGGAATACCTTTGTTCTACCTGAAAGGTCCAAGCAATCTCCAGTTTACAAACAACTTCCTTTTAAAAGACCTTTACATGCACATGGCAGCTTTTCTCACCACTTCAGTAGCCATAGGAACATTTGTGGGGACAAACTTTCCATTTCATCTGACCTTAATTGTTAGATCTATTAATTCAGCAGTGAAAAGAAAGTATTTTTTTTTTAATTTTTTTTGTTTTTTTTTGGAAGGAACAATTTCTTAATAAGTTCTTTGCTCAGAAATACCACCTTCTCTCCAACTATATCCCTGCTGATGCCCTTTGTTTCACCCTAATAATTCTACCACGTAGAGATTCATTTGGACTATCAAAGGATCCTCTTGTCTAAAATACAAAAAGCCTTTGGAAAGTTTCAGGGGCCACGGGGCATTTACATTTTTATGTTAATTATCCTAGACTAAGTAGATCCTTTCTTACCTAAGAGAGTGGATGTTTGAGTTTTGAGGGAGGGAAGAGGTTGGTTTTGGAGAATGGACTAGGTCTTAGGTCAGATATTCCTGAGGAGACCAAGGGTAGAACAAAGGTACAAAGATTTTGAGAAAAGGGCTTGATAACATGGGATTCGGTCCTATAAGAAGACTTCCAAAGGCATTTGTTTTAGATGACTAACTTACAACATTAGCTTGCTTTTGCAAGCTCAGCTATTTTTTATTTTAATTATTCATAATTACACTGCTTGAGAGGCAATACTCAGAGATGTTTTAGCTTAGTCCATGACATTTCCACTCCTGTCAGCAACTCAAAATCCCATGGCACAGGTTCAGTTCAATGTAAGTAAGTATTGCTTTTCAGCTGAATGCATATTTTTAAAAATTCAAAATGTGCAAATGTTTCAACTAAATTAGAAGAAAGTGATTGGGAATCAAGTCACAATTATACAATAATAGCTCTATGACTAATGTATTTGGAAAATTTTTTCGCTGTTCAATTTGCTAGCAGTCCCCAGGTCTGGTTCTGATCAGCGTATGCATTTTAATGTGGGCAGGGATAGTAGTGTTTAGAAACATGGACTGTAGAGCTGAATTGGCTGATTTCAAATTCCATCTTCACTACTGTTCTGTGAACCTTGAGCAAGTTACCTAACCTTCTCTGGCCTCAGTTTTCCTACATATAAAATGGGAATAATAAAATTATTTGCTTTGTGGGATTATTATGAGTAAGTAATTTAATGTATGTAAATCTTTTAAAGCAGTTCCTAGCATACAATAAACAATAAAGATTGGGTGTCACCTTTTATTATAGTAATAAAATGGAATTTTTATTCTAACTGGCCTTCTCTCCAAAATTAGGGTTTTCCTTTATTCTTCCAATTTTATGGAAACAACACCAAACCTACCTGAGTTTTTGCAAGTAAATCAGTAGGGCAATATTCAAAATAACTAGTAAAATCTACCATCAATAATAAAACCTGCAAAAGAGATTACTTTTCCCTGCTAGGGCTATTGACCAGTATTATGGTCCTTATGAAGTCATATTGGATTAATCTTGTGGGTGATTTTTTCCCCCTTGGAAACTTGGTTTTGAATCATTTAAAATGTTATTGTTAAGTGTGTTTTGTACTTTTATGCAGCATAAACATAAACTCTGTTTCTTCTTGTGCCGAAGTTTTATTTCAGCCTCATCATAGTAGAAGTCAAGCCCTCTCAGATACTTTTCATGTCCTAGATTTTGCTGATAATTAGTATTCTGCAAGTAAAGGGGTCAGTAACAGGAAATTTGATTTGATTTGAAATAAGTCAATCAGCCAATAGTTATTGAATCTCTACTTGATACACAGCATTGTAAAAAATGAAAGAAAAAGGGAAGAAAATATGGACCACTTTTCAAGGAGTCTAAATCCAAATGATAAGACTAATCAAGGAAAACCTTTGAGAAAACTCTTGTGAATAAGTGATCAGTGACCTGGGAGCTGCTATAACATTGCAGTGGAAAAAGACATCAGGAGAAAGTGGAGTAACGAGGAAGGTGCAGTGATAGAAAATTTTGTCCTGTTGACTTTTACATGGAAAAGGAAGAATATCTTTTTCCCAGGAGAACAGAATGATGGAATTTGTTGAAAGGCAGTGAGTCCCACTCGGAACATGGATAGAGAAAGGTGGCAGGGAGGCTAGAGATGAATGCGAATCCTCTGAAAATAAGGAGAGAAAAATTCTAACACTCTAGAGAGCCACGACGTTGCTCCCTGATGCCCAGCTAACACTGGAGTCCTTGGATTAGGTTTACAAATTACACCTTTTTAACAAAACATTAAATGTTTCAGCATTATTTTCCTCCCTGGATTTACAACCGTTCTTTCTCTGCCTCTTTTAAAAATGGCATTTTCCCTCTTCTCAGCCTTTCCTTATGCTAACTAAGCCTCTTGGGCAGCTCCTGAGTGAAAAGGCCATCTCTTCTGCATTGGCTCCTTCATAGAGTTCACATAGTTCTTTCCATTTTTCCTGTTCAGTTTCAGGAACAAATCTCCCTCGCCAGTAGCCTGAAGTAGTCTTTCAGACCAGCAGAGTTGGCTCTGTGCAAGTCCCCTTAGTTAATACATAATCCTTGGGGTTCTGTGTGAATGATTTCTTGATAAAAGCAGTAAAGAATTATTGAGTTGAAAATCAGTTGCCTCTATGCGGGAATTTATTGGTACCGATGGCTGAGACTTCGTGTTTTTTGGCAAGATGTCCTGTGTGGACCTCATGGACTCAGCAGTAGATGATTATGATATTATTTTTGAAGTATTTCTTAGAATTAAATAATAAAACACCTCACAAAAAATGTTGCTTTCGTTGTTATTTTTTTGAGGGTGGTGACCGTCTGAGTGGGCAGAGCGGCCATGGGTAGCAGCCAGAGTTCCATAGAATGTGCCCGGGCCCACGGCCGTGCTGTGCGGGCTAATGGTCATTTCTCTGTTCCTTAGGTATTACATGTGCTGAAGGACTATGTGGGTTAGGCAGGGTTGTTTGGGTTGGGCCTCCCTCTCATAAAAATATTCAAGTTTTAGGATGTTAGCATGTTCAGATGATATCGTAAATATAGGCAGACACACTAATTGGATGGAAAGAAATGACTGTTGTGCAGCTTTAAACTTGAGTCCCACCACGTATGCAATCGCATGGCTTGTGGACTCTTTTTAAATAAATAATTATGAATTGAATTATCATATCATAGGTCATTGATACCTGTAGTATAACATTTAGAGTAGAATTAAGTTTGTAGGCTTATGAATAAAATATTACTATCATTGAAACTATTTGCTAGGACACTTCATAGTTTTTTTAGAATTCTAAAAATGTATCCTGCTATAAATATTAACAATTTGCATCGGTGAAATGTACTTTACCTGTTATACCTCGTGTACTCACACAAATAAATCATTATAAGTTTTACATACTAAAAAGCATTTATTTGTTAAGATAGGCTGTTAAAATATGACATCATTTTTCTACACCCTATTTTAGGACTTCTGTTTGTTTTTAACATACAAAAAGCTGCAAATAATGGAATTGGCTTTGAACTTTGATGGACTCTGACTGTGACAATATGGCTGGTTGGTTTTTATTGAGAAGTTTTCTTCTTCTCTAGGGTGACCCTGGACAGCCTGGGAACCCTGGCTACCCTGGACAGCCTGGTCAAGATGGTAAGCCTGTGAGTACTGAAAGCTTAGTCATCTCCAGTGTTGGGATTATAGTGTCAAAGTTAAAATTTCACTGGGCAAAGTTGGTCAAGGAAAACTCTATATTTTATAATTTAAAAAAAATCTTTATTGATTTCAGAGAGAGGAAGAGAGAGAGAGAGAGGAAACATCCATGATGAGAGAGTCATCACTGATCGGCTGCCCCCTGCACACCCTTGACTGGGGATGGAGCCCGCAACCCAGGCATGTGCCCTGACCGGGAATTGAAACACAATCTTCTGGGTCCTAGGTCGATGCTCAGCCGCTGAGCCACACCTGGCTGGGGCAAGGGTGGATTCTTGATTGTTGGGGTGAGCTAGTAGGAAAGTACTGGAGGACTTTAGGGGGGAGGTTGATCAATGGGATGGTTTTCCTCTGTGAGTAAGCCATCTGTATTTGCTATGTGACACCCACAGAGACTGGGAGATCTGGGCACATCATTTTTTAAGACTATGTTTCACAGGGATGGTTCTCAGGTCTTTGAGAAAGATGGTTCCCAGNACACAATCTTCTGGGTCCTAGGTCGATGCTCAGCCGCTGAGCCACACCTGGCTGGGGCAAGGGTGGATTCTTGATTGCTGGGGTGAGCTAGTAGGAAAGTACTGGAGGACTTTAGGGGGGAGGTTGATCAATGGGATGGTTTTCCTCTGTGAGTAAGCCATCTGTATTTGCTATGTGACACCCACAGAGACTGGGAGATCTGGGCACATCATTTTTTAAGACTATGTTTCACAGGGATGGTTCTCAGGTCTTTGAGAAAGATGGTTCCCAGGTCCTTGCTAGTTGTAAAGCTAGTAAGAAGGTTTTAAAAAAGATTTACAACTCAAAGGGGCAGAAAAAGAATTTATAATTACAAATTTTCTAAAGTAAATGTTCTCACAAAAGAGAGGTTCAGGGCCTAGAGTCAAGAAGAAGCCTGTCTAAACTTTAGTCAAGCTGAGGGGAACATTCAGATTGGCTTGATCAATAGAATTAGCATTCTAGTTACTTTTTAGGTATTTTACTTCAAAATTGCATACATCTTTGCTACATTTAAAAAATTGTTCAGTGAATTCCTAGTATCAGTGATAGTTATTTTCAGAAATCCTTTTATATTGTCCTTTCATGTCTATGGAAATTTTTAAGAGTTGACCTACATAAAGAAATTGAGTCAAGCTCAAAATTGTCAAAAAGATTTGTTTATTTGGGAATAGCAGGGGAATTGCAATTCAGGGCACACAAACTGTACCAAGCTACAGGTGAGTCCACTGAGGGTTTGGTGTAGGCTGTATTTGTGGAGAGGGAATGTAAAGAGGGGAGAGTTCAGTTAAAATCATGAACAAATGGAGACCAGCTTTGAAAATTCCCCAGGCAGACAAAACCAGTCCAGTCATATAAGCAAAGCTCAATCCAGCCAATTTCTGTTCATGCCTCTGGGAACCATAAGCAAAATTCCCAAGGTTGATATGAGACAACCCCCGACCAATTTTTTTTTAATCATTTAAAAAAGTTCTAACATTCTCAGTTTTCTGTAAATCCGGCATTTATGGGAAATCAGTTTATCTGTCCTTTAAGTTTTATTTTTCCGAGAGCACATGCATAAGATTTTCCATTTTATACCCTCCAGTTCCATTTTATATTGAAATTCTCTCACACAAACTAAAACTCTTTTTAAAGGCTATATCATTTTCCTAAGAATCTATGCACTTATAATTTGTCAAAAAATAATATCCTCTAAGTTTCAAGAGAACTTAAGGGACATTTATGAATTAAAGAAACATAAAGCAGATCCACTTTAAAGCATTTTCGACAAATATTTACAGGTAAGTTACTATCAGAATGTTTATAACAGTAAATAAACATTAGGAATTAGCTTTTGGATGTTAAATAATTGCCACCAAAAAAGTATCTCCTAGGAGATTTTCTTTATGATGAGACATTAACTGTTGCCATGAAGAATGGGAAGGTTTATATTGTGAGCCAATAATGTTGGAGCAGTTAAAGCACTACAGGCTTAATGTTAAACCATCAGCGTCCTCTTAGGATAGAAGAGGGGCTTGTCATGTCCTTGAGAGAGATGTTGACAAATTTAATACAAAAAAATATAGCCAAATTTTGAAGAGTAGTGATGTTCTGAGGTTTTTTACACCAGTGTTGCATGGTTAAGGGGTCGATTATACAAATGAGTCTCTCTAGAGAGAGATTGTCAAGGAGGGTGGCCAACTGGGGCTGCAGAGAGCAGAGGGGCTGGGTGATTGGGGCTGAGGAGCTAGGTGACTGATTGGGACAGTGAGGCTCAGCTGACCCAGGGGGTTCATTCTAATTGTGATGGCAATCTCTTTGGGGATTCTGAGAAGGAAAGTGACTTGATCTGCCTTATTTTTTAGAAAGAGGAATATACAGGGTGGGGCAAAAGGAGGTTTATAGTTGTGAGTAGGAGAAACAGTTTATTCTTATATTATTATTAATTCCTGTATTATTTTCCATAGGAACAGCTGTAAGCCTACTTTTGCCCAATGCTGTAAATATTATGTGAAGGTATATATGAGTCAGGAGTGGAAGCAGGAGACCAGATAGGAGGTTATTTCAGTATTCTGAGAAGCAGGAGTAGCCTGGACTAGAGTGATAGGTGATGGTGAAGAGTCGTAGTCAGACTGGATTATTTTTTAATGTAAATCTGGTTAGCATTTCTGTTGAAGGAGAGGTGAAGAATGCAGAAAAGAGTCAGGAAGACTTAGAGGATCTGAGCTTGAGCAACCGGGTGAATTGTGGTGCCATTTACTGAGCTGGGCAACGCTGGGGGAGATGTAAGTTTTGGGGAGGAAATCGAGACTGCATTTTTGGACATACTGAAGGTGTCTCCTAGAATATCAAAGGTAGGAATCTTGAGTTCAGGGATATGTTTAAGAATGAAAATACACAGTTGGCACTCTTTAGCATGTGGATATATCTAAAGCCATCATAGTGGATGAGATTATTTAGGGAATAAGTACAAATAACTGGATAAGAGAAGATGACAATGGACTGAGTTTAGGGCTCTCTTACAGAGAAAAAAGAAAGGATATAATGGAAAATTGGGAAAGAATGGTCAGTGAAGTAGGAGGAATACCAGGAGAGTGTGGCATCCCAGAAGCCAAGTGAAGAAACCGTTTCAAGAAGGGGGTGACCAGTTGTGTCATTGTTGTTAAGAGATTGATAAAAATGAGATTTGTGTCTAGACCAAGGGATTTGCTGTATGGGGGTAATTGAGGACCTTGGTAAATGGAATTCAGGGAGGGGTAGTACCAAAAAATAGCTGGATTGAAATGGTGCAAGAGAGAGTAGGAGATAAAACGATGATTGTGACTATAGATGCTTCTTCTGATGGTTATAAGGAGGAGCAGAGAAATAGAGTAACAGCATGGGAAGGACATGGGATAAAAGGGTTTTTTAAAAAGATGGGAGATGTTATAGCATTTTCTATGATGAAGAAAATGAAGCATAAGGGGGAAAAAATGATTTGGGATATCTGAGATATTTTTAGAAAGAAAATCATTTGGTAGGTGGGAAAGCATTGTTTCCAGTTGTAAGAGCAGTTTATCCTGGATAAGAATATGGGTAGTTAAACCTTCATATGGGCTAGAGGGCAAAGCCAATAAGCACAGAAATAACTAGGGGGTGTAGTTCAGGAAATGGGGGGAGAAATGTATCATCAACTGCTTCTATTTTGAATGGAATGAAATGAGTAGATTCCAAACCTAACGTCTCCCTTTTACCTTTATCCTGTTATCTGCCTGCATTAGCCTTGTAGTTCCTCTTATAATCCATCGTTTTCTCACTTTAACTTGAAGGGTCATGTGAATTGGTTGCATTCCCTCACTGCAACTCCTCATCCCACCAAAGATACCGCCTGAGGTCCTGTGTGGGTTCTGACCCAACCACACTGGGTGAGATGAGTCTTATGAATATGAGCCCTCCTTTACCTGGAGACCCCTTCCCTGCGAGCACTCTCTCTGTTCCTGGCAGCTGCGTGCTGTCCCAACTCCAAAGCAGATACACTTAACATGCCAAGGTGTCATCTGCTGGCACCTCACAGCGACACAGAGCTCCTTGGACAATGCTGCTAAATTATTTAGGCTTCTGTTTTCTTCAGTGGTGAAAAGTCCTGGGCAATATTTGAAGGTGAGTGTCGAGCAAACCTTGCACAGGCTTTTTCAACTCTAGTTTGCTTCATTTCATTTTTTCTTTCTTTCTCAATAGCTTGCCATGAATGAAAGTACTGGAAATTTATTGCAATTAGCCTGATACAGTAATTGTGGCTTTTACTCTGATTCTCATTTAAGCTATAATAGACTTACTGTCTCATTTCATTCAGTACATGTACATGTTTTCATGTATGTGTATATAATTTTATGTATAGATACAGATATAACTATGTAGTATTTGATATTGGATATTAGAAAATATTAGATGTTAGATAGTATTAGATGATATCTAATGTTAGAGAAAGAACAAACCAACTGTGGTAGACAGAATAATGTTAACATCCTGACCTTAAAGACCTGAGAATATGTTACCTTACATGGCAAAATGGACTTTGCAGTATGATTCAATTAACGGTCTTGAGATGCAGGGATTATCATGGTTTACAGAGTGGCCCAGTGTAATCCCAAGGGTCCTTATAAATATCAGAGTCAGGGAAGGAAAAGTGCTGATGGAAGCAGAGATCACAGTGAGACAGCCTCTGGAAGCTGGGAAAGGGAAGGAACAGATTTTCTCCTAGAGCCTCTAGAAGGAATGCAGCCCCCTGACACTAAGTTTAATGGTTCCCTAAGAACCATTTTTGGACTTCTGATCTGTAGAACTATAAGTTTGTATTGCGTTAAGCCACTATGTTTGGGGTAATTTGGTACAGCAGCAATAGAAAACTAATACACTAACCCAAATTCTGTTTGCCCAGAGGTATGACTTTTTTCTTAATTACCCCCCGTCCCCCATTTCTTTCTCTCTGCAG